CTTGTTCAGACCACGTGGTTACAGTTGCAAGGGAAGATTTTGATGATTTTACATGCTAAATGTTTTAAATAAATTCATACACTGCTCTCATTCAGATATCTCGGCTCAAATGTTGTTCATATACTCATGCCAATAATGGTTGTCACCCCCCCCCCCCCTCCCACCCCAACCCCACACACACCTCACACCCCACCCCACCCCTCTCCAATTAAAAAAATTGAACGGGGTGACAACCATTATTGGCATGAGTATATTTATACTGAGTGGATCCGTGTGCTTCTGAGGAGGAAAGTAAATACCATGGTTTTGACACCCACCTCACATGCTAGGTGCTCAATCCGTGACACGTGAAGAGGTGCATTTGAACTAAGTCGCTTACCGAGGACGCACGTCACGATTCGTGTGCATGTACTTATTAGTGTGTGCACTAACGGCTCATCCTCCAAATGGTGTCTGGGTTCATGTGCTGTAAACATTTCTTCCTAGCCATTTGTGAGATACATTCTCATGACACTTCCCAGCACTCCGTCACATGATTACCTGACCTCGGTTGATGTGTAGTCCTGGCAACACCTCAAACGCAAGTTCAAAGTTGATGATGTGTAACAATTTAAAAGTTAATGAATAACTCTTATCATACGTGTACAATTACGTTTTGTGACAAAGGCAGAACATTTGTGAGTATGGCATTCCAACTCTTTTTTATTCATACTACCCATCAAAAGTTTAGACTCACTTAAAGCGCTCACTATATGTTATGCATATGTATATGGTTACATCGAAGATGAATTTCTCCACTAACTTTGGGGAGCCATCTGCAAACCTTATGCAGATGAACTGCACGAGGATCATATATCAATTTTCTGAAAAACATGTTCAAATATCGTGCATGTGAACAGCTGTGGTTTGGTGTAAAGTTTTGTTAAGAATTCGCCAATTTTCACTGAGTTTCATGATTTATTGAACTCATGAAAATAATTTTTTCAACGTTACGAATTTGATTTACAATACATCAGTTCATGTGTAAGCAGTACCTTTAAACATTATGGAATATTTAGCAAAATCTAGTTTAGAACAGTTGACTGAAGTGGCTACATTTACACTAGTGAGTCTAAATTTTGCTGGGTAGTATATTTTCCAGTAAAGTCCTGCCGGACGGCACAGGGACTGACTGATTGTTGTTGTTTAACTCAGCAAACAATCGAGTCTGGGCCAGACAATCCAGTGACCTATATCATGAGCATCGATCTACGCAATTGGGATATGATGACATGTGTCAACCAAGGCAGCGAGTTTGACTACTCGATTCCGTTAGTCACCTCTTACGACAAGGCGAATTCTTACCCGTATCTTCACGGGTCGTCACAGGAAATGAGCTTCACACATTTTACCTGTGGTTGGAAACGAATCCGGGTCCTAGGCTTTACAAAACGAACCCTTAAACAGACCGGCCAGGCAGAATAAGAGCAAGAGCGTGAAAGCTGAACGCAAGGGCGTGATGCTCCCTTTAAGATGACAACAGATGTTACGTCTAGTGTACTTGGAGAACGCTCCACTCAATTACTGTAATACCCTTGAAGGTCCGGGGTAGAATATTGATCTTCAGTAACCCATGCTTGTCGTAAGAGGCAACTAACGGGATCGGGTGGTCGGGCTCGCTGACTTGGTTGACACGTGTCATCGGTTCCCAATTGCGCAGATCGATGCTCATGCTGTTGATCACTGGATCGTCTGGTCCAGACTCGATTATTTACAGAACGCCACCATATAGCTGGAATATTGCTGAGTGCGGCGTAAAACTAAACTCACTCACTCAATTACTGTAAACAACGAACAAAGACATAAAGTCCCCAAACCATCATTTATTGGCCTTTAGAATGGTACTCGGAGATACATGAAATGTCGAAGAAACAAATGTGCCATACTCTTTCTGTATTTAATGAACAAACTATTATAGATGACAAGGTGTAAGTCACATGACAGGAAAAATAAACAAACAACGCATAGTAAATTAGTGGACAGAACTTTCAGATGAATAAATTAAAGACGGGGTCGGAATCATCTTGGTACGTGTGGCTGCAAGAATACGTGGTTTGAAACAAATGTGCGCATTGTATTCTCATTTTATATTTATATTTTATGTCAGCGAGTTCTCTTAATGAGGATCACGGTACAACACGATGCACAAACATAGTTACATAAAGAGGACGTTAAGCAAATAATGATCCATATATGATAATACTTCGACGTTGACATGTACAACTACACATCAGAAATATATATTAGTACCAGTTAGCAAATCTGCTGTGAACCCTACCCAACACGGAGAGGGAGTGAGCAAGGAAGTGAATAACTGTAAATTACCAATCGATAGAGGGAATTAAATCCAGGTAATTAGTTTTCAGGATCCCCTTAACGTACAAAGGTACATAGGGTATATTAATCTGTACAAATGATGCGCTAATCCGGACACTGGTAAATCCATGCGATTTACACGCTTCCAGCAGTGTCCGGAGTACGTGGGTTTCACCGCTTTAGTTCTAATCACTTGTTATTTCGTTACTGGAAATAATGGGGGCTGCGTGCATAAGAACACCTCGCCCTATATGAAAGGCTGATAATTGTGGAATTGTACTTCGAATTAAAATGCATTCGCCATGGCTTAACTTAATGACTAAAAGTCATGTACTGTGTGAACATTCGGGTATATGCTCTCAGATCCCACACTGAAACACTTCAGTCAACGTACAGTTAAGAATACAACATTGTTCAACTACAATGAATATATGTAAAAGTGGTCATTTTTACAATCAAACGATTCTGATCTCGAGTCTTGTTTAATAGACAGACAAAAGAACTGGACACCAGTGTCAATGTTTGCGCTCTACACAGTATACTAGTACTCATGCAAGGGTTCAAGGGGATCTTGGATACGTGGCTTTATAAATAGAAATGATTAACAAATATGTCGCCTGCAATAAAATGTCAAGGAGCGTGTTAGTGGTCTCTCGCTGTCATGGTTACTATTCAGTTCTACCACACACCAAACACACAGGAAACAAATAAAAAAGTTAATCGATTCACTTTTGCAATTATAAGGTATCGGTAGATATTACCGGTAACACAGCAGGAGCAGCGCTGGCGCAATTCTGGCATACAATGCCGTACTTCCTTGGCGCCATTTCTACCGGACATCTGACCCTAAGAACTATGCTTGGCAAAGGCTAAAACTATTAAAACACTTGCAAGGCCGTTTTTTTTTCAGAAGGTTGATCGTTGGCAAAGAAAGAAACGTAGTCTTTCTGTCTCCAATACAATACCCTTGCTTAAAAAACTGAAATTTCTACAGACTATAACACAAAAGCTATCCTTATTTTTTAAAAGTGAACTATAAATAAATAAATAAATAAATAAATAAATAAATAAATAAATAAATAAATAAATAAATAAATAAATAAATAAATAAATAAATAAATAAATAAATAAATAAATAAATAAAATGCTCACATGCACAAACAAATAACTCAAAATGAGTAGAAGTCTTACATTACTTACGTACTGTAGCCGTTCGACTATTCATGTTGTTATTATGAAATTTATATTAGGATGCAACCGTAGGTCGACACATTTGATTAGAATAGCGATGAGGAACACATGCATTGAAAGCACATTTGACACTGCATTGCAGAAAATGTTTGCTTAATATGTCAATAATACGTTTGCATATCCGTTTCAAAGATACCTGTTGCCATTTTCAGTACATCTAAAGTGTGTGCACAGGTGGTATTTTAGGTATGTGAAGTTTGTTCGGTTTTACCACACATAATAAGGGTACACACAAGCACTTGGCTGAATCTTGCCATGATGTCAGTCACTGGATTGTTTAGGGTAAAACAACAAATAAACAAACAAACCGATTTCAACAATATCATATAGATGTCTCCATGAGTCGCTACCATGATGGCACCACAGCGTACACAAGAGGTATAGTAAGACAATGAAGTTAACTCCCCTTTTATGGTATGTTGGGGAGGTAAGTCTAAAGATATCCAAGTTAACCACCTTCTGAAACTCTCAAGCTGATCAAGAACTATTAATGGTGCAGAATTAGACATTCCATCTAAGAATGGGTAGATCATAAACTTAACGTCTATTTTGAACGATATTTCTGTTATGGTACGTCCTGTCAAATAAAATCCGTGGTTAGGCCAAAGACAAGGACGTTTATCACCCACTGAAACCAAACAAATATGATCGTGAAGAACTAGAGATTCGATCCAAGAGCATTATATCCTTGAACAGCTCTCTGCGGTATTTAACCCATTGTCGCGCCATTTTTGTGAAACACAAATGTTTCCAGAGAGACCAGCTCCGGGAATAAATTCCTTTGGGCACAAATAACAGTGGGTGACGTCATATGAAATTATTCGCAACAGTGCACCGGTGAGACCTGACGTCATTACGAGCACCTACACAAATTATCAACGCAATGGAACTAAACAAGCAAGTTCCGTCATGCAAATATTACATTTATCGCTGGGCAGCGTTGACATTACTTCTCCTGTTGTCTGTCTCCATATATAATGATACTTAATGTCCACCTATGCCCTGTATTTCAGTACGGGCTATAATAAATGTCAATACTATCATATGAGATATAGGAATTAACTTACATGTTCATGGAAATTGCAATTTCCAGATAAAGCAAAACGCTATTGAATATAACTTACTCTGGATTCACAGAATATTGAGTTGACAAAAGCTCCAACTGCTCTGATAACCAGTAATAAACGATTTTGAAAGCAGATTTGTGACATTAAATGTTCTATTTCACTGATAATATAACTATCAGGCTCTTCAATAACGAAAGCTTCATTGGGCCTAACCGTCCGTTCTTGTTCTTTTGTCTATGCAATCAACACATTGCTTACTGGTACGTAGAGGAATGAGACAATATCTATTCTCTGTCACAATTATCCTAAATTTTGACAGTTGTTTACAAACATAGTATTTGACGGTTTCTTTGGCAACGAAACCATTCCTACTCCTATAACGCAGATTCATGATGTCATTAGTTTTCAAGAAGTGAGTGATTACGAAATCAAATTGACAAGATATTTCCTTCTTAAGTTCAGTTAAACAAACTCGTGATTGGGCATGTTTTATACACAGGATTATACATGTAATAATATGTAATATATAATATCCGACTCGCAGGTTAACCAGTACCGTAGACATTCCAATGTTCGAACGTTCTTGGAGAACACGATACTTCAATAACTCGTCAAACTGACTGTTTCTGAGATCCGATTTCTATTTCCCTAATCCCAACAGAAGCATCATTGGATCAACTTGTGACCGTGCGCCTCGGTAGACACCTGGCATTCGACTATTAGCCATGCGCAGACCGTAGTTCCGGGTCCGGAGTGACCTCCTTACGGGCGCAATGGGTGACCCAAATCTATAGGCCGATCTTTCATTTGGGTTTGGTCTGTAGCTCTTCCTGAGAATGTCACCTGATTGATGTAGATTGCTTTTAATTAGGGTAAGGAGATCCAGACGTTTCCCGATTTTACTGTGAAAGCGAAAGAAGTCCAGAGTCCGTTTTCCTATTCCAACATGTCGGTACTTCTGATCCGGAAACATTGTTTTCCATTCTCGTTTTAAGTCTGATGGCAGTGGAAAATCCTTTGATTCAAACGAATCTTCGTTCAGTCCTTCTGTGTCGTCAGCAGCACCTACAACAGACAATCATGGACTCATGAGCAAACAGTCTGACCATACTCGTGTCATAGTGTCTCTCTCTTTCTCTCATCGTCCCCTGATATACACACATTTTAGATGTTCATCTTTATTCTTTTCATCACCAACAGTGCAATACAAGCTTGTGATATCCACATGATATGTGCTTGCAAAATGTGCCAAGACATATATACTACGTTTTATTGTTTGTAAATCATAGAGGACAACGAATAAGGAAACGCCTGATCAACAATGAGCAGTACATACGATGACATGTTCAACCAAGCAGAAGCCTTAACACCCGATATTCTTTCATTTGAACGTTTTGTGTTGTTAAAGAATGAATTTCACCAACAGTGCAATACACGTGCGAGCAATTTTCATGTGAAGAAACCTGAAAAGAATGACCGTATCGTGACAATGATCATCGCACATACTTGTGAGCAAATACTGTTTGTTAAATGCCGTTCCTTAACATTTCGGTACTTGAATCATCGGAAACGATTATCATGAGTATACATGTCTATTTCTAATACTAGATACATATCGTCCAAAACATAGTCATACATACACACACGCACGCTCGAACGCACGCACGTAGGCACACAGGCACGCAGGCAAGCACGCACGCACATACATACATACATACATAATAAAAATTAATTACATTCATGCGTGATAACCCTTTTCACACATATTGTCATTCTTTAATTGTATCGTCGAAATAGCAAAGTCTCTTATGAATGGTCATTTCCAGGAATAATCGTACTGTTGTATAACTTCACAATCTCAATGAGTCGGACATTCCCAACAGGTAAAATAGGTGAACTGAAGCTTGTTAGACTACGATAATGGCACACAAATACAGAAGCCTAAATATCAATTGACAAGGAAAAGTGCTTGTGCGGCGTTAAGCAACAGTCACTCTCATACTCACTCACTCAGTGATCGTCCTTCGCGGCAATCCGTTGGAGTAATGGCGTTTATGAAAGGGAAATCAGCTTATGAGATATCAGTAGTGTGTTCACTCAACTCATGTATAGGTAGTTCCGAGATCGGGTAAAATGTCAAGGCAGAAGATGACATTTCTGCTGCATTAAGACATCAAGGCGTGTGAAACATTTCACTAAGAAACAGGAAAACATTATCACAAAAACCAAAACATGCTTGTTCACCACTGCTTTCTCAACTCTCCCAAAATCAATTACAGTCGGTTACCTTAACAACGGTGTGGAAGTATATATGCCAAACCCACTCCAATGCTCTGAATGCCAAACATTCGGACATGGTGCTAAGACCGTCAATTACAATACTATTTGGACCCGTTGCAACGGGGCTTACGAGAGCTATGAATGCACTGATAACATCAAGTGCGCCAACTCTGATAGACAGCATTTAGCATCACCATAATCCTGCTCCAATTTTGAACATCAATCCAAAATCCTAAAATAAAACACAAACAATATCTCTTCTTACGAAGCAAACCTGTAGTTCCAAATCAGACTCTAACAACTGCTTGCATCTATTCCGCGGCAGTTTCTTCGTCCCGTCCTGCTCAGGTTTCAACTGTTCTCACAGTAACAAAGAATTCTGTTTCATGTCAAACTGTCATGTCTTGGGTGACAGATAAATAGGTCACAATGTGAAAATCACAAACAAAAAAGTTCATCAGCCTCTTGCACAGAGGTTCAATCAGACCCAGTTGCATATATAATGATGATTCAAAGATCTATTTACATCCTGCCCCTGGAACGTATTTAACACTTGACATTATCTCTCATAGATGCAGTAGCAGCGCTGACTTTCACAGCTCAATGATATATCTTATCAACCAATACCTAATTCGTATGCAAATCCGCACATACATAAACCACTGGTTTAATAAGGAATGCAATCAGGAACGAAAGTAAAGTAAGGAAAAACACCGCCGTCACCCTACAGTTCACATTTACTATCATGATAAAATTACAAATGCCAAGGCACTACGTTCTTTAAAGAAAGTAATTGTTAATCTTTGAGGTGCTATATCTTCGCAAAATTCTTGCACTACTGTGGCAAATGTGTGGAATATGACCAAAAAAATTCAAAAGCAAAGGATCGCATTCTTCTTTTTACGTAACTAGGTAACAAGCCATTAACTGATAAAACTGACCACTATAAGCAAGGTGGAATACTACCCAAAAATACTTCATCTTCTAATTTTGTTCTTGAGTTTAATAAATATCAGAAACAACTGAAGAAAAAAGTACATTTTGTTTCAATCAATGGTGAGTCTAACCATGCATTTTCCCTGGATGAGTTACATACCGCCCTGGATCAAGCTCCTGATACTGCGAGCTGATACGATGCATTACCAGCTTTCGAAGCATTTGCTTGATTCGTGTTTCGAGACCCTTTAACATATATTTCATCAAATATGGATTTCAGGAAATTTTCCCCCGCCATGCAACAATGCCAGTGTAGAAACCATAGCAAAGCCAGATTGGCATCATATAGATCCCTCAAATTATCGCCCAGTATCTTCAACAAGTTGTCTATAAAACCATGGAACGAAAAGTTTATACTTGATTAGTTTGGTATTTTGGAATAAATGATCTTATCACAAAAATTCAATGTGGTTTCCTGAGAAATAGAAGTACTATTGATCATTTAGTACGTCTTGAATCCTGTGTAAAAATACTGTTGTAAATAAGCAACAGGTAGTCTCAAGGCAGTATTTTGTCTCTTACCGTATTAGGTACCAACATAAACAGTCTGTCAAAACGGTTAAATGATTGACTTGACGGATCGCTATTTGTAGGCGACTGTAACATATATTATTGCGGTAAAAACATGCACGTCATTGAGAGGCAACTGCAATTGTCGCAATGAAATCCACAAACGCTCGCCTGGTAACCTCTTCAGATTCACAAAATCTAAGACTAATTGTATACAATTCTGCAGTAAAATACAGGCGGCTAAAGGACCCAGAATGTATTCTATCTGGCACACCAATCAAAATAGTTGAAGAGACCAAGTTCTTGGGCGTTATTTTCTATCTTCACCTGTCATGTTTGCCATATCTCAAGGCAAAGTGCCCAAAACACTAGACTTGCTGAAATTCGATTAAGCTCTAAGTGGGGATATAACCCATCTTCATTTATACAGATACTTGATCCGACCAAAACTGGACTACGGTTACAGATGGATGCTGTAAAAGCTACTAACAAAAACTAGATTCAGTACATCACCAGGGCTTGAAGCTTTGTCTCGGAGCTTTCAGGGCGTCCTCTATTGACAGTCTGTATGGAGAGGTTGATGAGTCATCTTTACAACAGCGTCCGTTAATATTGCATAACAATATATCACTAAATCAAAATTAAATCCTGCCTATGATTAGTTTTTAACCCTCAATATGAATTCATTCATTCCAAACTAAACTAGGATCAGAATAAATCCTCATATAACAGCAGCAAATATAAACCTTGATACAGTTGCACCATGCCGATGAATGACTACGCCTCCTTGGCAATTATACCAGGGGTTGACCTCACACTTACTAATTTAAAAGAATGGATACAAACCAGTTTATCTTTAAGCAAGAACATGTCCAATTAAGATCTAAATACGATTCTCATCGCTCTATCTTCCAAGGTTGCCTGTGCCTCCATCATTGGATCAAACACAGTTTCTTCAAGATTACCAGACCATAGCTCCATATGTTCTGCTGAGGCCAAGGCTATCCAAAAAACTTGGAATATATCCAGAAACAAAGAGTATGTAATCACTTCATCATTTTCCCTGAGTCCTTATCATGCCTACAGGCACAGGCACTTAAAATGTCAACTCGAATCATCCCTACTTCTTGATGTCTTAGAGTGAGTGAGTGAGAGTTTAGTTTTACGCCGCTTTTAGCAATATTCCAGCAATATCACGGCGGGGGACACCAGAAATGGGCTTCACACATTGTACCCATGTCTTAGAAACATACACTACTCTTGCCACTGGCCAATACGATATCGTAATTTGTTGGTAACCTAGTTGTGTTGGTATTCCAGGTTAAAAGAGCTAATGATACAACCAAAGTAGCTCTTAATAAGTCTTTGTCTCACCTTATAATTCCCTACAGTGATTTTAAACAATGCATTAAGAATATGTTCTTAGTTCGATACAACAAAGATGGTTCACGCAAGTGGTTAAAAGTAAACTTATAATTAGGTTACACATACATAGCATGCCATTCAAGACATGATGAAGTTATAATGATACGATGTCGGATTGGCAATACGTTAATTACACATGAATATTTATCAAATAGTGAGCATCCTCCATTCTGTGTCCCTTGTGATGAGAGATTCACAGATATGCACATATTGCCTGATTGTGTCGATTTTACTCTCAGAAGTGCTACATATTATCTTTCATCTCTTTAAAGGATCTTTTTTATATTGTTAATGTTCCTTTAATTCATTTCCTTTTTGAATAATTTGAAATATTTCAGACATGTTGAATATATGATGTCTTGTTAAATAAGAGATCATTGACGGCGGTCCCATCAGTGCGTTAAAGTACTTTTCTTTGAGAGGCATTTAGAAGTTGGAGCAGTAAGGAAGGATGACAATATAAAAATGAACAACGTCTTTATTACAGTGAGAGCGACGTCGACGTCTCGATGTAGGTTCGGTGTACGTTCTCAGGTGCTTGATAACAGTGTTAGAACAGAAACGTTCTTAATGTAATAAAGATGTTTTCAGTGTAAAATTCTTATCCGACAGACAGTGGCACGTAAGTCCATCTGGATCAAGATATGTATCATCAGCTAGTGTGTTAATTCCTTGATAATATTTTGATAATTTAATATTGGTTAGCATTGCACACACTGGTAAACAACGTGACGGCGTATATCCTACAAGGAAAGCATGCAGGAGACAGAACACCGATTGTGACCAGTATCCCCAGTAAGGTGGTCTAGATTTAGTTGCTTGTGGTCTATAGTCTAGCTATAATTTATACTGAATAATCTACTGAAACATTGTCTGTTTTAAACATTAATATGGCTGGTTTTCTACTAAAACTGTGTTATACAAACACCCACCTGTTAACTCACTCCTCACTCACCTCACTCACTCACTCATGGAATATCACCACAATCTTTACGGTGATCAGAATAAATCCTCATATAACAGCAGCAAATATAAACCTTGATACAGTTGCACCATGCCGATGAATGACTACGCCTCCTTGGCAATTATACCAGGGGTTGACCTCACACTTACTAATTTAAAAGAATGGATACAAACCAGTTTATCTTTAAGCAAGAACATGTCCAATTAAGATCTAAATACGATTCTCATCGCTCTATCTTCCAAGGTTGCCTGTGCCTCCATCATTGGATCAAACACAGTTTCTTCAAGATTACCAGACCATAGCTCCATATGTTCTGCTGAGGCCAAGGCTATCCAAAAAACTTGGAATATATCCAGAAACAAAGAGTATGTAATCACTTCATCATTTTCCCTGAGTCCTTATCATGCCTACAGGCACTTAAAATGTCAACTCGAATCATCCCCTACTTCTTGATGTCTTAGAGTGAGTGAGTGAGTTTAGTTTTACGCCGCTTTTAGCAATATTCCAGCAATATCACGGCGGGGGACACCAGAAATGGGCTTCACACATTGTACCCATGTCTTAGAAACATACACTACTCTTGCCACTGGCCAATACGATATCGTAATTTGTTGGTAACCTAGTTGTGTTGGTATTCCAGGTTAAAAGAGCTAATGATACAACCAAAGTAGCTCTTAATAAGTCTTTGTCTCACCTTATAATTCCCTACAGTGATTTTAAACAATGCATTAAGAATATGTTCTTAGTTCGATACAACAAAGATGGTTCACGCAAGTGGTTAAAAGTAAACTTATAATTAGGTTACACATACATAGCATGCCATTCAAGACATGATGAAGTTATAATGATACGATGTCGGATTGGCAATACGTTAATTACACATGAATATTTATCAAATAGTGAGCATCCTCCATTCTGTGTCCCTTGTGATGAGAGATTCACAGATATGCACATATTGCCTGATTGTGTCGATTTTACTCTCAGAAGTGCTACATATTATCTTTCATCTCTTTAAAGGATCTTTTTTATATTGTTAATGTTCCTTTAATTCATTTCCTTTTTGAATAATTTGAAATATTTCAGAGATGTTGAATATATGATGTCTTGTTAAATAAGAGATCATTGACGGCGGTCCCATCAGTGCGTTAAAGTACTTTTTCTTTGAGAGGCATTTAGAAGTTGGAGCAGTAAGGAAGGATGACAATATGAAAATGAACAACGTCTTTATTACAGTGAGAGCGACGTCGACGTCTCGATGTAGGTTCGGTGTACGTTCTCAGGTGCTTGATAACAGTGTTAGAACAGAAACGTTCTTAATGTGATAAAGATGTTTTCAGTGTAAAATTCTTGTCCGACAGACAGTGGCACGTAAGTCCATCTGGATCAAGATATGTATCATCAGCTAGTGTGTTAATTCCTTGATAATATTTTGATAATTTAATATTGGTTAGCATTGCACACACTGGTAAACAACGTGACGGCGTATATCCTACAAGGAAAGCATGCAGGAGACAGAACACCGATTGTGACCAGTATCCCCAGTAAGGTGGTCTAGATTTAGTTGCTTGTGGTCTATAGTCTAGCTATAATTTATACTGAATAATCTACTGAAACATTGTCTGTTTTAAACATTAATATGGCTGGTTTTCTACTAAAACTGTGTTATACACCTTCCTGTTAACTCACTCACTCACTCACTCACTCACTCACTCGTTCACTCACTCACTCACTCATGGAATATCACCACAATCTTTACGGTATACAGTCGGATCACACATAAAGCAGGCTTACTTGGGCCAAATCCAGCATGTTCAACTTCAGGAAAATACCCAAGGTCTGCAACACAGGTATGGAAACCGATATTCCGATTGTATTTTTAATGTTGCCTACACTTGAAAAGGTGCCCAAGAGAAACATCGATAACAATGAATAGTTTCCCAATGGTCAGTTTGGACTCGAGTCATGATATGTCATGTGCCAAATGACAAACAATGGCGCCAGGGTTTGATCTCCAAGCGTAACAAGCAGATCTCACATCAATAAGACAATGCCTAGTCATGGTCTGTCTGTCTATTTATTTGTTTGTAGGCAACTTACCCAAATCTGAAATACCGCATCCAAGTCCACAGAATGTAAGTAAGGCTAACAAAATGTAAGCGCTTGCATCCATGATTTGTCTGAAACAGAAAGGTTTAAGATGTCAAAGGTACAGAAAAAGCCACAAAACTATTAAAAATATAAAATATATATTCTATAGTCAACAGTATTTTCTGAGCAGGTATGTTGTAACTCGCAACAGTGACGTGATGCTGATCCCGATCTGAAAGAATGGTTACAATGGGAAAAACTTACATTATGGAATGTACTATGGTTCTGGCTATTAAAATTAATTAACACGGGTCTGGGTTTTTAAGGGCTCGAAATCTTAGAGGAACATGCTCATCAACAACATCAGACATCTGTTATATTTGGGATTACACTTTATCAGTGATGTACGGAATCTTGTACTTTCAGGGTTGAGTCCCAGCCGGAATTCGAACCCACACTCTCAGATTCAGGCACCTCATCGCCACCACACAATGTCAGTCATCTAACCCACTCAGCCACACCCCCTCCCTAAAACATGGAAGTGATACAACTGGTAGTCTAGATCATGTCCTGTAACAATAGCATTATTACTTCAAAAATGTATGAATTCCTCATCATTTGCTGCCCCATAAATAATATTCAATAATATCGACAAACCCGTTTTCATTGTCATACAAGCATGGCCTCATTACAATTCCTACTATATCATGAGAATGTGTCCATGAATAACTATCAAACAGTAATGATGCAGCCTGGTGCTGGCAAATGGTGAACAAACCTGCCCCATTAGTTGATAGTCACAAACACACGCAAAGGCAAGTCACCTTTTGTAAAATTGACACCGTCACCAAGAATTGCATGAGATGAGCATACCACGCTATTCTTCTATGTCTGTGTGTTGCTGTTATAATTATGGGTCCGTTATATTTAGCCTGTGTATTCTCATCTCACCTTTGACAGATCGATCTGTGCCCGACCTTTCGTATCACAGCCAGACTATTGAAATGCGTATCCGTTTAAAACGGCATGGTATCTCGGCTGGCTAACACTATAGAACTGGCGCAAATATAGCGATAGCGTAAAACTAGCTTCCAGACTTGCCCCGCCGACCAAATAATATTCACGTCTTTCTTAATCAATATAAATTAGGCATGACACCACTTGTTCGCGAAACGATAAACATAATCCACCCACAGGTACCGCACACATCCAAAGGCATGTCAAGTATTCACCTGAAGAAAAGTCTTATACCGTTTTAAGTGACTCATACTGATCTGACTTCACAGGACTCGTAGCAAAACCAAACTAAACAAAACTACATATAGTTTACTGTACTTACTGAATCAGCATTTCGTTTTAATTTTAACCTGACATTTCTTAATAAATTACTACAGCCTCCCATTTGGTTGTACCTTATTATGCAAGCACAGTGAACTATAGTTTTAACATCACATGGTGTAAGGAATGACTCTAAAGATCTATAAAAGAGTGGAAACAGCTGAACCAGGTGTCTCCGCTTACAAGACTTAAATACTTGCCGACTCATCAACATCCAATTACCTCACTTACTAGCTCTTTAGTACTAACAACGCCGACAATTACCCTACTTGCAACTGAGAGGCCTCCGTGTAGTAGTATAATTGAACCGTACGCGTGGATAGTCATGATAAAAGAACGACACTGATTTCATTATTAATGCTAAGTTAAACATCAAATTAGATTTTAAAGTTAATAAGCACGCTAAAGTGAACGTTGGTATATTAATAACGATTGACAAGATTGTAATCACATTTGATTTTGTCGTCCTTTGTAACAGAAATTGTGTTATCAGCATATGCCAGTGTTAGCAGAATCGGGTTTAGTAACAACACAATGCAATATATGGAATGTATTTAGAAGTGGTTTCTCATACTAAAGCTGCCAATACAAGATGGTATTTCGTTAATCGATATTTGTCGAGACACAAATCGATTTTGATCATGGTGACGTAACAAGGTGTGTGAGGTCGCGTTCATGATTATTGAACTTTTAATGCGACTTCTGTATGCGTGGGCGGTGGGGTAGCCTAGTGGTTAAAGCGTTCGCTCGACACGCCGAAGACCCGGGTTTGATTCCCCACATGGTTACAATGTGTGAAGCCCATTCCTGGTGTCCCCCGCCGTGATATTGTTGTAATATAGCTACAAGCGGCGTAAAACTCAACTCTCTCACTCACTCACTCACTCTGTATGTGTAATTGCTAATCAGCACTAATGCGGAGGTGAGGTGAAATGGGGTTTAACGTTGTACTTAAGAACATTTCGCTCATATGACGACGTGAATGCGTGTGCGTGGCTGCTTGTACTAGTCCAGACTTGGGCTTGTTTTATAGTGCTAGCTCACTGAGACACCATCCTGCAGTTAAACATGAATACCCCACTCAGACACATTATACTAACTCCGAGCCGACCTGTCCTTGTTGTACCCATTAATGCCGAGCGCCAGGCAGGAACCAACAAGTACCATATTTTAACATCTTTTAGTATGACGCGGCCGGGAATCGACCCCGCGACTTTACGCTCTGCGGGCTGTCGCTCTATCCACTACACCACGGAGGCGGTCCGCATTAATGCGGATATTATAGTGCTTTCTCTTTGAAAAAACATGAATTAACTAAACCTAGACACATCGTAGTGACTGAGAACCTACCAGGCACTATTTTGTTGATTTAATGACGAAACACAAGGCAGGGAAACAACAAGTACCACCTTAAAGCGTCTTGGTATGACTTGGCTAGGGATCGAACCACCTGCCTACCGTTCTAGGGGAAGACGTTCCTTCACAACACAACGAAGGTGGTAGTGTTGTGGTTATCTAGGGATACACAACCGATAATGTTAACTTAAAATAGTTAAGTCACTCTGACATGCATGTGAATTTTCAAAGTAACGTAGTATTATGGATCTAATCCACCACGTGAGACACATCTATAACCCAGGATATAATTGCCACTGCCGTGTTTAGGATATAATTAAGCAGAATCCTCTGCCCCTCTCTATTCACTAAAGAGCATGCCTACTTCTATCAGACATAAACATTGCAAACACGCAGCCTGTGAAACTACTGCTTTCAGGTTCGTGAAATGACAAACGTGTGATTTTCGAGTGAATTTCAAAACAATGTGCCAATAATTTACAACCAGCGGCAGCAGTTCACAGAGTCATCCATTGATGTTCCCTGTTATTGAAGTACGAAGGACGTTTTGAAATACGCCGTTCGCTTGATTTATCCCATATCTCTACCGTGTGGAATATTTCTGCGAAACTGCGTTAAATTAAGGTCTTCCAGGCATCACATGAGAAGTACTAAAACACGTATGTAGAATAACAGTTATTATGCTGCAACACAATGGCCAAAAATATACCTTAAATCTATTTATCGGAAATAAACCCAAACATTAAATCCGTGACGTCTACACAGCGAACCTTTATGGTCAATCTTTATAAAATAAACATGTGTTTACACCAGTGGAAATGTGCACAACTAAAACAATATGTATATTTGGCTTCATAATGATATTGATTCCAGTCTGAAGGAGCCGTAATAGAGAACGTATGAACATACGTTTCCTGTAATCACACTTCCACAGTATGTAGTCTCCGGAACACTGGAAATCATTTCACCTCTGTGATTACTTTTCTGTTTTGAAATCACATAGGAAGGTTCCCTCACACAGCTGATGATCAAACCAGAGTTAGTTTCGCTCTAATGAAAAGAGTGGAGACAAGGGTTTGTTTATTTATGTATTACTTTTTGTACAAGGTTAAAAAACAATGTTGTTTACAGTCAACAATAACTTTTCATATTTGTACCGAGGTGTTATCTTTGATGCTGGAGATGATATATATTTATGCGTTTTAATTATCCTCGTTTGTAAATGGCTGTTATGATGCTTACACCTATCGCAATCTAAATGTAATTCAACTTTAACTTCAATTGATCTGACATGTGTATTTAAGTTCGGATAGCTTGGAAAAACAATTCCAGTGAAAGAGACACTATTTCAATTTATGCTCGCTCGTCAGCTTATGAAGCACATCGCTCTGAACATGAAAAACAAGAGAATAGCAAGCAAAACACAACATGTTTGAAAAAACTCCAAAAAGGTGCAATTATGTCAAGAAAAACCTTCAACAGAAAATCAATAATACAAAAGTTGCCCACATCGTTTGACCTGAGAATGGAATGGAACGGAAGTGGCCCTATGGAATTACGGTAATGATTATAGTTAGTTTAATTACCACCAGGAATAAGAAGCACAGTGTCGGAGTATCTCTTGTCCACTTCCCATCTAATAGTGACATGCAACTAAACTCATGTATCGTTAGCTCTCACACATAAAGAACAGATCAATCTGACAGATGACTGCTCTCTTGTGTGCGTCAACTCTTCTCTGATTCTGTATTCAATGTTGTGTTGTTGATTGTAAGGAATGGAAGGCACGACGTTCTCAGGAACTTAACACCAATTTGACGTAAATGAAAACCACTTCGTTTCCGTGTGTAATCGTCTGTAATTATTTTTGATTGAGATGCCATGGACCAATTTTGAAGTAATATGTGCAGGTTTCTTTGTCACAGCGACAGTTGTTGAATCTTACAGAAAACATGAGTATGGCGCTAAGATGTGTGTGGGGCACTCAGGAGTTTGGCAGTTTAGGAGCGCGGTGGGCGAGCTGGCTTAGGCGCCAGGCTAGTGATCCAGTGAGGTTGAGGTGTCGGGATCGAACCCACCTGTGACCGGGTGTAAAAACCTTGGAGTCCACTTTGTGTACAGACTCTTTCAGTGTTGTCACAACCCCTAGTGTACAGTACACAACAGTGTGCACTTAAAAGAACCCACGAATCCATTGGTATATGACCAGATGGTGGCCACATGAATACGTGCAAACACCTAGTTGCGGGTACAGCAACGTGCAGTGAACTTGGACAAAATACTGTAACTATGTGTCCCAGTCCACCCAGCTGTCAATAGGTAACTCGTAAGGATGAGAAAGCCACAATAACTCGGTGCGCCTGGTGGTTGCAAGAGTTATATACTCCCCAGGGAG